TGCTTTTTCCATCTCTTTGAAGAATATAGTTGGAATCTGGATTGGTATTGCATTATATGTGTATATTGTCAACAAGCTTTTGTATTCATTTATGTAAAAATGTTTTAGCTGGTGGCCAAGAGGCAGGCTTGCAGAATGTGCCCTTTGATTGTTTAAATGCTTGTACATTTCCGAGTGTTTTTGTGTACACCCTCCCAAACAAACAAAACAAAACAAAAACAGAGGGAACAGAAGCAAAAATACTGCTGAATTATGATGCATGGAGGAGATTGTAATCATTGCAATGAAACAATGCATAATACCGATGTTCTCTCATGTAAACTATCATTCAACTCAGAATAAAAACTTAAAAAAAAAAACCCCAAAAAACCACACACAAAAAAGTTTTAGTCTGAACTGTGAGCCCGAATGCACTGCACTGCTGTCTTCATTTCTCTGTCAAAAGTGAATCTTCATTTTCTAAAGGCTGCTTACAGGGAACCAAACAGGTGAAAGTCTGATGGAGCAAGGTCAGGAATATAGGGAGGCTGCTTTAACACCTCAAAACAAAGTTTCTGTAAAGTGTCAACAGTGTGGACAGAGGTGTGCAGATATTCATTGTCATGCAAGATCACAAAATCCTTGGATGGCAGTCCTCTGTGTTTAATCCATATTTAGCCTCCAGCTCTTCAGTGAGCATCTCACTGTAACGAGCATTGTTGATTGTTGAAACTTTTTCCTGAGAGTGTGCCAATACTTGTCCTTGAGCACCCCAAAAACTGTAAGCATGAATTTTCCAGCTGATAACTGACTTTCAAACTTTTTCTTGGTTGGTATTGAGAATGTTCCCATTCCATACTCTGCCATTGACTCTCAGACTCGGAGTGGTGAATCCATGTCATCAGTAATGATGCTTTTAAAGAAACGTTTACCTTCCTTTGCGTATCGGTCCAAATTTTGTTTGCAGATGTTCAAATGCTTCTGTTTATGTGCTTCCTGAGTTATTTCAATACCTATCTTGCATAAAATTTTCAAAACCCAAGTCTATCATAGATTATTTCATAGGCAGAGCCATGGTTGATTTGCAAATGATTTGCCACAAAATCTACTGTCACTAGTCTATTTGACAGAATCATTTCATGTGCA